CCCGTCCCCGACCCCTTTCCCCGCGGCCCCGCGCCGGTCCCGCGGGCTCCGGTGGAGAGGTCCAGGTCCTGCCCGGTGGTTTCCGCGGCGTGGTGTTTGCCGTGTTTGATTCACGGCCGTCGTTCCCGACGGCAAAAATCAGTTGCTGCAGAGGCCGAGCTGCCGGACTGTGATAATCCCCCATGGGCAGCATCCTCCTAGCAAGATAAGGTGGTGAGGGCAGCCGGGGGAGGTCGGGCAGGTTCCTGGTACTGTTCTCATCCAGGAACTTGGTAGGAGGGCTGGGGTAAGGGGGAGCATCGCTCCTGCCCTGCTGGGAAGGGCTGTGCCATAGAGGGAGAAGAAAGCTTTGTGGGTGAAGTCCAGTATGTTGTGAAGTGGAGCTGATAAAGGACAGGGAGTGGGGAGCTCCTCAGGTCTTCAGGGTCAGATTGCCACAGAAGTTAGCAGAGAAGGACAGGTGCTTGCTGCTGCCTGGCTGAATGCTACAGCACCAACACCTTTGCTCCATCTGGAAGAGACATGCTAGCAGTGGGAAGGGTCCTGGGCTAAAGGGTATGACTGCACTTCATTGCTGGTTTCTCTCGCAGCTGGGCTTCAACATCCGGGGAGGAAAAGCCTCACAGTTGGGGATCTTCATCTCTAAGGTGTGTCTGCCCTTCTGCCATTCTCTCCCTGTGTTCTGTCCCCTTGGGTGTTGCTGAGCCAGCTGGGTGTGCATGGAGACTGTCATATGCCTTATATGCATCTCTGAACTCGTAGCTGTAATTTGCCGCGCACCAAGCAGCAATCAGACAGTCTTGCACCATTTCCTGATCTCTCCCCAGCCCACGGAGTGCTGCTGGTGCACCACAGTCCCCACTCCCCATCCTCCCCAATCCCATTTGAGTGTGCTGGGTGGGCACCGTGGGGATGCTCTGGGGCTGGGCTGCCTCAGCTGCGTGGGAGGGGAGCCCTGGCACCAGCTATGTTGAGAGTCACTGCTGCAGTCTCTGCTCTTCTCTTCACAGGTGATCCCTGACTCGGACGCGCACAGAGCTGGGCTGCAGGAAGGGGACCAGGTGCTCTCAGTGAACGACGTGGATTTCCAGGACATTGAGCACAGCAAGGTGAGCACTCCTGTGCTCCAGCTTTGGGAGCAGGGACAGGATGGGGAGTCCATGGACACAGCATCTCCTTCTGGCCTCTCAGCCTGCACCAACTCAGCTGGTGGCACCACATAACTGATGCATTCCTCTTTCCTATCCTCCAGCCCAGTCTGGTCACTGAGCAACTCTTTCTGCTTTCAGGCTGTGGAGATCCTGAAGACAGCCCGTGAAATCACCATGCGCGTGCGTTACTTCCCCTACAGTAAGTGTCCACTAGCTCTGAGTCCAGTCACCTAGCAGCATTTCTCCTTGGGAAGCAGACTGCCACGCATCCCTGCTGATTCCACCTGAGCTTAGTGGTTATGAGCCTGCAGTCATAGACGGTGTTAAGTTAGCAGCCTGCAGATCAGAAAGAACATTGGGCTTTGATTTGGGGATCAGGACAGCTACCAAGTCAAAGCATTAAGGACTGGCTTCAGCTGTCCACATAGAAAAACTTACAGAGCAACTGCGTTGCTTAGGAACACGGGGTTAAAAGGTGGGATGATTGTTGGATGGAAGTGTTAACTTTAGAGCTGTAGAAGATGCTACATATCCTTGAATAACACAGGAATTAGTTCTGTCACTAGTGGACCTATGCTGATGGTGGACATTGCTTGTGGTTTTTATCCCTCCCTAAGGACGTTTAAATTCTGAGTGAGGGAAAAGACTGTATTAACTCTCAGTTTCTGCTCCTATAAAGTTCATAGATACAAGGTGGGAAAAATTAGACATCAAGTCAAGCCAAACAAGGATTCTTCATAAAATGGAAACATACCCTTAAGTGAAAGAAGAAAAATATGGAGCAGGAGAAGAGAGGAATTTAAAGACACTTGTGTTCTAAATGCCCTAAAACAACTTGAAATGACTGGCTGGGTGCAAATATGCTATTTTAAAGCCAGCTGCGATCCAAGAGGGTAGCAAACGCTGCCTCTGCTTAGGGAGATATAAACAGAATATATGTTTTCCTGTAAAATTTTGACTAATTCCCCCTTTCT